CGCAAATAAAGGGGAGCGACGGGGCTGCGGCGGTAGGAGGAGCGCGGGGGCCGGGGGTAGTGAGGTCTGGAGGTCTGGGCGGCGAGCGGGCAGCGCGGCCTTGGCCTATGTGACTGGGCGGCGCCGGCGCGGCCTCCGTCTGGAGAGGTAGGTGCGGGCCGCCGGCGGGAGCGGCCGCGAGGACCTCCGGGTCCCTAGGGCTGAGGCGCGGCCGGCCCGGGAAAGGGCGGGCAGAGCTCAGAGGGTGAGTCGGGCTCCCGGGCCCGCCGGCCTCCCGTTAGCTGCGCCTCTTTCCCGCCTGCGGGGACATTTCCGCCGCCCCGAGGCCATTTTGCCTCCATCCTCCGTCCCGGGGGCGAGATGGGCGCTCCCGCGGGCCGGCGTTACCGGGAGGCCGCCCCCTCGGTGCACGTCGTGTCCCCGCCTCTCTGTCGCCCCCTCCCACCTCTCTCCTCTGGATCCTGAGGATTGGCGGCACTAACGAGTTCAGCAAGGGAAGGAAAGCCGTGTTCGTTGACCAGTTTCACGTCGCGCAGGTTGTTACTGCAGCTGCATCCTCCTGTAGACTTCCATTTTTAAATGATGGCATACATTCTGAGTAAAGAAAGAATTCTTTGTTAATTCAGTAGAGGGGAGGTTTTCGTGCAATTTGTTAAGTCTCGTCTTGGGTCTAAGGTGGTTATTTGAACCATATTTAGTCAGTAGAGGACACAGTGGAAAGTCCAAGTTCTTGTTTTGATGAAGTCAATCTGATCTCAAAGTACTGTGTTACATTCCTGAGAAACTGTGTTTTTAAAGTAAAAAGACGGTTCTTTTGCCCTAGGTAGAAGAGTATTTCCAACAGTGTGTTTACAGTCTTGAGTTGTCCATCTAGTTTTGCATTTCTTTAGTTAATTCCATTACTGAGGAAGGTAAGTGGAAGTCACGGGTCTGTCACGAGTTCTCGTTTTTTAATTTTTAAGTTCTGACCATTAAGTTTTCTATGATAGGTGCATATATTGTCGACATTCAAACCCCCATTAAGAAAAAAACTTACGTTGGAAAATCTTTTCAAGATACCTAAATTTTATTTACTATTGTCGTTCAGTAGCACCTGATGAGGCAAGTCGGGGAAAGAAATTGCAGTCCACCAGGTGGCATGTGATGAAGATAAAGTTAAATTTTAAGGGTTTGGGTGGGTGTATTTGGGGAGTTCTTTTATTTTAGATCTTATCTTGTCTTAAACAGATAGCTATAGCCAAGTGGTCAGTATTTTCACTTCTCAGTGGCGGAACTGAAGCATAAATTTCTAAGTCCCAAAGGAGGAAAGTAATAATAAAAGTGTGTCCCAGGCACTGCTGATGTTTTACTTAGCTCATCAAAACTTAATAATATCTAGTTTTCCTGATTCAGTTTTGAGTCATGCCTGCTCAAAATATTTTTGTGTTAGGAATGAGTTGGTCTATATGAAACAAAATCTCTACAGTGTGGAGACAAGAGCTGTAATTATATATGTACAGGACGTTACAGGTTTCAAAGCCTCTTGTGTTCTTGTATGTATGTAGTATAGAATCCCCTTGAAAATATCCTGTACTTGGTGGTCAGCATTTTCATATAATTGTATGTTACCTTGCTCTTGAAAAAAGTTTACTCTTAAAATTTTTAAGTTGATGGGTCTTTTAGCAAAACAAGATCTATATAGTGTTTGGTTTTATGCTTGTTTTTATTTTTAAAATTATTTCCTACTTTTTTGCCTTTAAATGTTTTCTGATACTCAGCTTCTCAAAAACTTTTCAGTATTCCCATAACCGTATATCCCATTGGATATTAAGCTGGTTCATCAGGCTAGAACTGGGTGCTATAAGTAAATATTCTCCACTCTTGAACATGCAGTTGGTGGAATTTAATTTTTTTAAATGCACATTAAAATTATCTTTTGATGTTGATATTTTATTTGAAAAATCCTTTGTGTAACATTTTTATGGCAGTTGAGCATTGAGATTTGCAGCACTTTGTAAGGCAGGCAAAATTGGTATCCATTTTTTTTTTTGGTGATTTGGAGACTGCAGCCCAGAGTTAAGTGATTTGCTCAAGATCCATTGACTGATAAGAGTCAGGAAAAGGTGCTCGTCTGATTCCTAACTGTAATACCCTTTTTACTATAGAGCCAAGGTTGTTTGCTGTTGGATTATTAGTTTCTTGAGTTTAGTTAGAATTAGTTTCAGTGAGGTACATGCTTTCTCAAATTGTGTTGGCTGGTGTTCACCTCTCTAAGAGAGAATTGAGTTGCATAACTTTGGATCATAATGCTAAGAGCCAGGGAAGTACTGTGATCTGGGATGCTAGGCATCTAGCCAACTGAAACCGAACTCCATCGTAAAGTTTTTGTCAGTGTTAAAAGCATCAAGAGTACATAATGATTCTGAGACCTGAATTTAAGAGATTATCCTGAATTAATTCATGTGAATAACTGAAACCTTTACATAATTTTAAGACCATGTTTTAACCAATCTTAAACCTCCGAAAAGGTAACCATATTGGCCAATTTTAAGTTTTTTCTCTTTTGCTTTTCTGTGTTCTTTAGTTAGTTAAGCTTATTCATTATTGAGGATGGAAGAGTGGAAGAATAATCCATCTTCCTCAGTTACCAACTTTAGAGAGGTGCTTCATTTGGGGCCCTAACCCCCAATTCATTAATTAATAGCTGTTTTGACCAGAGTTAATCATTTAGTGACTCATAATCATTTTCATCATCTGGAAAATGGAGGCTAACTTTGACTTTGAAAAGTTGTGATAATTAAGTGTGACTCATAGTAATGAGTATATATTCATTTTTCCCCCCAAGATTCAGGATTCAGCTCCAGATATTTCAGTTACTCCATTTTTCTGATACAAAAATAGATCTAAGAACCTGGGATGTACACTGTCTTCATGAATCTAGAATTGATTTTAGATGACTATTGTGCTTTCAGTTGTAATTTAAAGGTTGCCTTGGGGAATAATTTTCCTAGTATATTCATGCAATGTGAGAGTCAAATTTGAGAACCAAATTTTATTTTGACTAAATAGTTGAATGTTGATACTTTTAAATTTAAACCTGTTCTAATTTGTCTTTTGCTAAGCTGCTTGTTTAACTCTTATGGCATATTATGGAGTCTGAAGGAAAGATTGATTTTTCAGTAGCTAAAAATCAGGGAGGAATTTCTTTCAAAATGCTTAACGTTTGAATTCCCAGGTCACATATTCTATAACATGTGGAATGACGTGACTCTGAGAGTCAACATGAAGTGCAAACCTTTATACAAAAACTGCTTTTATCTTTGGCGTATGTCACAAATTTATATTTATTTTTATAAAGAAAATATACACACTCTTTGAGCGATGTGTAATTAAAATTTGTCCACCATCAAACTTTTTAGAAGAGCATATAAACCAGTGTTTAAAAAATTTAAAAACTTGCTGTTTAGAGTTTTAAAAATTGGAGATCACCAAGAATTCTGCAGTGGGGCTTAGAAACAAAGACAGGAGCAGGCAGGTCTCCCAGAGTTCTGGGATCAAGACCCACATCTGGCTCCCTGCTCACAGGGAGTCTGCTGCTCTCTCTCTGTCTCTCCCTCTCCCACTCTGTCTCTGTCTCAAATACATAAATCTTAAAAAAAATTGACAGGAGCAGCAGGTCTTCATTGTTATCTCAGCCTTTGAATTCTCCCTTCAGTTTCTTCAAGAAGTAGTGATTGAGAGTCTTTGTTTTTTTGATGGGGAGAAGGAAACTAATAATTGCTTATTTTGTGCTAGTCACCATACTAAAGATTAATATAGTTTATCTTTAGAAGTAGCTGAATAATTTTAGCCTTGGTGGAAATAATTCATTTTGGGATGGGAAACCGAAGCTCAAGTTCTGTTGCTTTTTTTGTTTTCATAGTTTGCACCCTCTTATAGAAAAGCAGGGTTACTAGAACTTCTTTCTTGTGTTTCCTAGTCCTTTCAATGCCCGTTAAAAACAGTAGCTTATTTGTTGCTAATTAAGCTTGCAATTAATTTTATTTTAATGGAATAGTTTGGATATGTATTAAGAAAAGAATGAATAAATAAACCTGGGGAAAGAAAGTGTCACGTTGTACAAGCATTTACTAGTTTATAACTGGAATATATATTGAGTAACATCCATAATGCTTAAGTTTTATGACTAAAATTTTGAGTAGCTGTAGTGCCCATTAACTAGTTAACAGGTAGACTATCTGCAGTGGTAAATTTAACTGTTTTCAAACTGTCACTTACAGCATTTTACCACAGTATCTTTTATATTAGGTTTCACATTCTCAAATTTTACAGTAGGTCATCATGGTTATTTTTTGGGGAAAATTAGATTGGGTTATTAACTCACTGTTAATGATTTCAGTAGTAACTGAAGCAAATTCATTTGTTCATATTTCCATTCAGCATATTTTTTTTTTTTTTAAAGATTTTATTATTTGAGAGAGAGAGAATGAGAGAGAACACATGAGAGGGGATAGGGTCAGAGGGCAAAGCAGACTCCCTGCCGAGCAGGGAGCCCGATGCGGGACTCGATCCAGGGACTCCAGGATCATGACCTGAGCCGAAGGCAGTCGCTTAACCAACTGAGCCACCCAGGCGCCCTCCATTCAGCATATGTTTGAGTGCCTACTGTGTACTGTGGCATTAGCAGTGAATGAAACAGCTCTCATGGAGCTTATTTTATAATTGGGAGAAACAGATAAGTATGTAAAATATCAAATCATGATGAGAACTATGAAGAAAAATAAAGATTGATGTGAGGGGATAGCAGAGGATTGGCATGCACTATTTTGAGTGAGATGGGAGCCTTTAGAAGGATTTAATCAGGTTAGTGGCATATATAGGTACACATATACTAGTTAAATTGGCTTAAAGTTCAAATGGCTAGAATCGATGTTTACCTATTATATTTAGCGTAGACAAATGAGAAATTCCAAGGAAATGCCAGGCTTGATTTCTGGGTTCCAATAGGTTGCAGTCAAGTAGAGTGAATGTACTTTAAACATACTAAAATAGAAGTAGATCTCTTTGGGGATAAACGTGATGAAGGTTTGTTTCCCAAATGATTGGAATCACTGGTATCATGTTAGGATAATCACGAAGCCGCTGTCCATTACTTCTAACAGTATAAATTGGGCAACAAGAAGAGGTCTAAAGTAAACAGGGACCAATTTAAAGGAAAAAATTAGAAAAATATACAGACCTTAAGTTGTAGAAATATGGTTATGTCTTTATAGATATTGGCAGAGACTTGATCAGCTTGATTAGCTCAGAAAAAATGACATACTCAGGTTTTTGCTTGCTGCATCCAATGGTAAGATTATTAAAGAGGGAAGAATTAAGCCAGTAATATAATACATGATCAATTTATGATTTTTTCCTAAAATGTCCTGATTTCTTTAACACAGTATATTTAGTCTGAAAATGAGGTTTTAATGGCAGTTTATGATTGGAATATCTGATTTACAGAGTTGGGATGGTATGTAACATAAAAAATGGTATTGGAAGATTATCTCCTTTTGAGGAACTCAAATAATATGAAGTCCAGTAGCTTTTAAAAATTCAGTTTTACACTATAAATTCTTTGGCTAATTTTTAAAATACTGTATAATTGACATGTAAGGTCAGTCTCAGGTGTACAACATAATGGTTGGATATTTGTATATTCTGTGAAATGTTCGCCCCTTTAAGCCTAGTTACCATCTGTTACCACATAGTTAGAAAAGTTCTTTTACTTTTTTCCTTTTGAAGACCTTCAGGATTTATTCTCTTAGCAACTTTCAAACATGCAATACAGTATTATTATTTATAGTTACCATCCTGTACATCTCTTGGAATTTGTTATGAGTAAGTAAAATGAATATAAAGGAAGTGTAAAATTTAAGGGGAAGAGTCCTGACAAAACTGTTGGATATAAAACGTAGGAATAAATTTAAATTAGCTTGTGTCCTTGTTTGAATATTAGGAAGTAGAAGTGTTTTCAGTGAGCATAATAAAGTTAATGAGAGTTGTTCCGTTGTATAACCTATCTTTTGCTATTGTTAAGTAAATTTTGTATAAATTTATAAAACTAATTTGAGATACAAATTCTGTGGCATGAAATTAAATAGTGTAGGAATATTTTATTAAGGTATAAATACGTATCATATATGTAAGCGTTGTACAGTAGTGAATTATCACGATGATAGAGTCTATCTACCTTACTATAACAACATGATGCTGTAAAAGGAAAGGCTTAGCAACTGGAACTATACTTCATATCCTTTCAGCAAGACGCCTGGGATACTGCCTGAGGTCAGTGTCTGACTTTAGCACAGTGATGTCACTTCTGTAAGATTTCTCTTTCTCATAGGGTGATTGTAAGAATGCATTGAAAATTTACATTTCTGTTAGTCCTTTATAGGAATATCAAAAGGAATGATTAACTTTTTTTGCAAAGGAATTTTTTTAATAACTTAAGAACAGTGGTAATGTAAGGTGTTAACAAAGGAGAAAGGTGGGTGTGGAGTATACAGGAACCTTGTAATATTTTTGTAACTTTTCTGTAAATCTAAAACTATTACTAAATAAATAATGACTTGGTCAAAACCGAGTTCCCTAATAAATTAGTTTGGGAAGCCAGTATTTCTTGTTACTACCTTAACCGGAAGAACATCAGTTGAACCTCTTCTCTGCCCCTTTTTTCTAGGATTCAAGATGACCAACGAGGAACCTCTTCCCAAAAAGGTGTGTTTTGTTTTTTTGCCCACAGTTTTTAAGTCCTTGTGTGGGGGGGGGCAATCAATAGGTTTGAAAGGACTGTCTTTATTTGCTTATTTTTCACTCTCTTGCGTTATAACACTACTAGCGTTGTGGGTGTGTAATTGTATCTTGTATGCAAAGTATTTTTAGAGTATTTTTAGTTTTTGGAAAACTTGTGTTATAATTTATCTCCGTGGTCTACTCTTAATCTTTGCTATGTGAATATTTCCATCTACGTAACTAAAATGTGAAAAAAGATGGCTTCACGAGTTGTTTATAAGTTACTTATTTTCTTTCGTACTTTTTAAATCCCTTTGGTTGTAAGGTAAAACCACTTCTTTATTTTTTCAACAGAAGGTTATAGCTAGTTCGTAGATTCTGCTTTCTCCTCTGAAGTTGTTTCTCATTTTCTCCCTGTTCTATTTCCCTAACTTAATTCAGTTTAGTCATTATTACACACACACACACACACTTAAAAGTTGCAAAATAACATAGTTTCTGAAAGTCATTTATAATTCAAATGGGAAAGCAGGGTATGAGCTTATTAACAAGTAAATATTTAAATGAATAGTTTAGGTGATAAGTATTAGGAATTTGTCTTAAGTTTTGAAGTCAAATTATTCATGAAATGAAGAATTTTACTGTGTTTTAATAATCAGAATTAACTGTGTGCTTTCTGTTAGACTTGTTTTATTTTTATTTTTTAAAGATTTTATTTATTTGACAGAAGAGAGAGACAGCGAGAGAGGGAAAACAAGCATGGGGAGTGGGAGAGGGAGAAGCAGGCTTCCCGCTGAGCAGGGAGCCCGATGTGGGACTCGATCCCGGGACCCTGGGACTATGACCCAAGCCGAAGGCAGACGCTTAATGACTGAGCCACCCAGGCTTCCCACTTTCTGTTAGACTTTTAATATATTTTGGTACAATGATTTGCCCTCTTCCATAATAGTACTATGTTACTGGTTAGTGTTACAATTTGAAACAAGTTTCTTATAAAGGAAACTTAATAAAGCATTAATTTTATACTAAAGCAGGAGAGGTGCCTCACCTTTACAATCTTCACTTGGTATAGAGAAACACTTATTTCTCAATTTACAAAGCAGTTTCAGCTAGAATATTGTGCACATTTTTTAAAACTTTTTATTTTGAAATAATTATTGATAAACCGAAAATTGCAAAGAAATATACAGGGGGTTTTGTGGCACTCCTCATCCAGCCTCCTTTAGCGTTAATCTTGCATAACTATGAGACATCTTACATAACCATACCAAAACCAGGAACTTGACATTGATACAATCCAGCTTAACATGGGCATATTGTGTGTGTGTGTTTTGATAGCTCATTGTAGTTTCATCACGGGTAACTTAGTGTAACCACCATCACAACCAAAATAGTTAACTGAAGCATTACCACAAGCTCCCATTTTGCCATTCCTCTATAGCCCCATCCATCCCAAACCCTTGGCAACCACTAATCAGTTCTCCATTTCAGTAATTATGCTATTTCACAAATGTTGTACAAATGAAATCAGGCAGTATATGTAACTTTTTGAGATATTTTTTCCACCCAGTATAATTTCCTGGAGGTTTATCTAAGTTGATCCATAGGCTTTCTTTTTAATGGTGAATCTAGTATTCCAAGGGTATGGATGTATCATAGTTTAACCATTCACCTGTTGAAAGACATTTGGGTAGTTTCCAGTTTGGGGGCTACTACAAATAAAGCTGTAAACATTCATGTACAAATTTCTGTGTGAAAATAAATTTTTTTATTTCTTTAAAGATGAATGCAACTGCTGGGTTGGTTGTATGTTACATCCATTTTTTGTTTAAAAGGAATTGCCAAAATATTCTCCAGAGCAGCTGTACCATTTTACATTCTCACCAGCAATGTGTGAAAGTTTGGTTTCTCTACATCTTCCCCCAGCATTTGGTGTTATCACTATTTTTTTAAAAGCCATTCTAATAAGTGTGTAGTGATAGCTCATTGGAGTTTTAATTTGCATTTCCCTAAGAATGATGCCTGTGTTAAAGATAGTGTACCTTTTAAAAACAATAATATAAGATTTTTAAAAAACAATAATATGTACTGGGCCATTTAACCTGGGGCTCTGGAGAGGTTTCATATATTTCAGCACAGAGGTTCTTTGGGAGGGCCTTTGTGTATTTTCAGTAATAAGGGTATTCCTAATAACAGAAATGAGCAATTGGGGGACTAAAATGTTAAGATCCTGTCTTTATAAAAAATATGAAGAACATAAGAGCCAGTGGTATTTAATATTTTAAAGTTTTAGGAAGAGCAGTCAGTTCATATTTTAATTTTCTTTATATATAGGTTCGGCTGAGTGAAACAGACTTCAAAGTTATGGCACGGGATGAGTTAATTCTAAGGTAAAATGTTCTTTTATCAAAAATATAAAATGCTTTCTACAGAACATATTGTGATTCTATCCTATAATTATTTTCAAGTTTGATTGTTTGGTTTTTAACATTAATACATCCTCAAATCATTTAATGTACTTTTTGAACATACTTTTTATGGTCTGTTTCTTCAATAGGTAAACATTGAGGAAAGCATAACACTTGAAAGAACTAAAGTACTAGCTTGGGTATCTTCTAGATTGCTAGATAACCTGAGTTTTTCTTGCAGAGGGAAGGTACTCAGAATTTTAACTTAGAGCATTTGAAAGACCCTGCTCTCAGAAAGCTTTCAATTTAACAAATGTGTAGACTTGTTTTGATGTCATTATTTTTTCCTTTTCTGATTAATGTGTGAAAAAGTTGTAGTCAAAAGGATGACATGTTTAGTTATGGAAGAAATACATTATTTACTGATAGCAAAGTTACTCTTTCTCATAACTGTGACATTGGTCAGTTCGTATAACTTTATATCCATTTTCTCCTCTGCAAGTTAAGGAGTTGAATTAAATTACTTTAAAAGGTTACTCCAAGCTCTGAATTTCTGTGGTTATCTTATACAAGTCTTTGAAAAGCCAATGGTCAAGAACAGCATTAAGCGTATTTCTTTTTTTTTTTTTTTTAAAGATTTTATTTATTTATTTATTTGAGAGAGAGAGAAACAGCATGAGAGGGGAGAGGGTCAGAGGGAGAAGCAGGCTCCCCGCTGAGCCGGGAGCCCGATGCGGGACTCGATCCTGGGACTCCAGGATCATGACCTG